GGCTTACATTTCTGTCTTGGTTATCGAGGCATTTTGATTGCCTCATTGGAGAGCAATTGGAAAGCTGAAATTGAAATCTGTATTTTTGGCTGCAGTATGAATTTGTTGTCTCTTGAACACACAAGAAAACAGCATAACCTTTACTTCACGAATACTTCCAGAAAGTAACATGTTTAATTAAAAAGCATACTAGATATATTGGTTCTTAATTCTCTGGGTCCCATGAGTGCTTATTGGCAAGTGTATGTAGACAGCCTATTGTTGTGATGAAAGTTCAGATTATCTATATTAAATGGGAATTGTATTGTTCTATACTCATGAATTCCCTTTGTGGATGTTAACGTTTTCTATTAAGTATTTTTAAAATAAACAGTTTACATATGCAGAAAGGGTTGTTTTTTTTTTTTGTACAGCTTAAGCAACTGATTTTGTGGGGGTTTGATGGTGAAGCTGAGAACCCTTGTATCAAGGATTAGATGTATAACAATGTGTTCCAGTTCTCAGGCAAGCAGCCTACCAAACAGGCAGCAAAATATCCTGGGTGTAGGCTGCCTGCCTTCCTTCCTGTTAGAGCATTTCCACTTCAAGCAGCCTATTTAACTATTTAGCAATGCTTTAAGGTAAACTTTTAGCAGTTGAGACACATCCACACAACAGAACAATGCAGCAGGAGGGATCATGCAAAATGCCCTATGGTTTGGTAGGTAGGGTACTGTTCGAGGGAGTAGGAGAGGTTTTCCATGAAGAGGTAACTGAATGTGATCTCCAGCTTCCTTGATGTCTCCAACTCAGAGGCATTAGCTGGCAGGAGGTCCCACAGCTGAATTGGCGTGATTGATTTATTCACCAACTTCATCCCATTTTCAAGCACTGCAATTCCTCTTCTTCACGGATCAGCAGTAGTGTGTTCCGTTCTGTCCCCTGTTCTAGGCAGCTGTGAAAAAAAAGAGATAGTCAAAACAAAAGCAGGATGGTAGAACCATGCAGAACACTGAGGGACACAGAGGTCAGGGGACAAGAGAAGAGGGTGAGGGACGCAGAGGACCTCTGGGTGCTGAACCCATGAACTAGTCAAATTTGTTACCCCTCTATTGGTTTACCCGAGCTATAAATTAGAGCCAGCTTAGGTCCATCAAAATTTTTTAGTTAAAGCCTGGCACCACCTGTGGTAGGGTTGGCCATGCTGTCTCCAGTCCAGTGTGTGAACACAAAAGCCCACATTAAGTCTCTGCACCATGTTCCTCAGCACTCCAAGATTTAGATGGCCTCTTAGCCTGATTGTAGGAACAAACCAAATCAAGGTTTCAGGCTGTGCTGGATCAGCACTGGATACTTCGTGCCAACTCACCCCACAATCTTCTTAGTTAAAATTGGCTTCCAATCTTATAGGTCCTGAAGAATGTCAGCTGTCTTAGTTAAAAACCCATCATTTGCTTCCCAGATTGCCCCAAAATAACAAACATCAACTTTTCCATTTGTTCCCCACCCCGTACTGGGACATCACCACATTGCATCACCACCTTGCAATCAGACAAGGGAAAAAAAAAAAAAAACAACAACATTTTGAGCTCATAATGCCTGCCTAATTTTTGAACTATAATAAGAAAGACAAGGGAGGATGACAGCTCCTGCTCTTGGCAGATTTGATCCACTCCCCCACCATCTGCCTGCCCTATGCACAGACCTAGGGTGACCCAACCCCACATTTTTTTTTATGATCTGTCTCCTTTCCAAAATGTTGTGTAGTTCTAGTTGTGCTAAATTTGGGCGAACACTATCCCTTTCCACCATCATGTACAGACCCCACACAAGCAGCTGTATGCGTAAAAGTTTGATTTTGAAAGTAATTCTTTGAGCTTTCAAACCATTTTCAAAGAGTTTGGAGGAACTATTACTGATGCTTCTTCACATCACTGTATGCTATGTATGTTATGAAGCTGCACAGGCATCAGTTTTGAATTACAGTATCGCCTTTGTCATTTTAAAGTCTGCATGCCTCTCCCCTTCTTAAGACCTCATGACAAATGCAATAGTCTGCTCACTAGAACCATTTTATCATGAACTTCACCAACCAATGTTAGCTATGGCCAGAGAAACATGAAGCTGATATTCCTGCTTCTCAACATCTAACTGAGCACTCTTGCAAGTTCCCTCACTGTTGCCCCATCTTTCCTCGAATGGAGCCTGGTCCCTGGTTTCAGCCACAGGCAGTAGAAGTGAGTTCTACAGACCAATTATACCTTATGTGAAAAGCTGTTGCCCTGCTTCATGCAGGGAACATAGAAAATCCCCTAGGTTCATGTTTTTTACCTTTAAGTTCTTAGAAGTATACAATACGAACCTTAGAAATGCTGTCTCGGCCTTTCATTAATTTACGTATTTCTAACACCCTCCTTCGTAATCACCTGCTTTCCAAAATTGATGCTCTCCACCTCCCCAAATGCTCTTCAGAAAAATTTTATTTAATCTTTATTTTACCTTTCTCTGAATCTTGTTAGCCTGCACTAGTTTTTACCAGAGGATAACAGTGAACTTTGAAATCATTCTAGAGAAGAACTTACCACCAGAAACAAGTGTTTCTGTTATGCTCCATTCCGTTCTCAACAACCCCATCAACAATTTTCCTTCTGTAACTTTATAGAACATTCCCTTATGTACAGTGATACATGTGTTAAGACTTGGTTCTGAGCTGATGCACAGAAAATTTCAGGCATTTGCAAGAAAAAGCTGCATTCATTTGTCTCAGTGCTTTAATATAAAGCCTGCCACTCCACCATCTCCTTGTCCTGTCGGTTCTAGCTGTAGTTCCTGTCATCCCCTCTGCCTCACCAATCTAAGGAGCTCCATCGGGGAACACAGCAAGTATTGCTGTGCCCACAGTCATTCTTCTCAAGTCATGAATGCATTATGTGAAGCAAATCCTGACACAAGCCACCAGTGTTCACCTGCCCAGTGTTAGCATTTCTCCCTAACTTTTTTTTGTCTCTCAGACAGTTTTACATGTACAGCATTATGCTTCTTATTCCAAAGGCTTCAAAAAAAATAAGATAATAATAAAACCCTAAAATATATTTAATTCAATCAGTTCTTTATTCATTGCCTTACCAAGAATCTCAGGTAATGGTAAAGGAAGAGCAGAACAATTTTCCTATGCAGAAATCAGTCTTGCATACTACTAGAATTCTTTTGTGGGTGTGTTTTTGTTTTTTTTTTTTAAATTCTGCTTTTAACTAGGAAGTATATATATATTCCTTGGCCACATGGACATCCTTTTTAGCAAGCACACTAGAAGATGCTCCCTTGAAATCCTTCCACAGAACAGATCCTTTTTTAAAACGCGTGTTTCCGGGTCTGTGTCACCGAGATGCTGCTTTGCTCCTGAGGCCCTTCAGAACGCTCGAGTTCTCTCCAGTCAGGGTGGGTGACTCACATCAGCTGGCTCCAGCTGCTCTTCTGACATGCCAAAACTCCAGTAGCTTCATCAGCAGAAAAGAGCTGACTGGTTACATTCCCATCGTCCTTTGGACTGAACACCAAGGCAGAAAGACTTTCATGTTTAAACATTTTCATCTTTAATTTTTCTTTAAATCCCAGATGACCCAGCACGCACACTCCACCTTGGGCTTCCCATGACCAATGAAATGCAACAACTGTGTTTACATAGCTTTAGATACTCACCTTAAAACAAAATAGTTAGGATGCTAATATGTTATTTGTGGCTATTTATGTTTGGATTTGGGGGTTTGGTTTGGGGGGTGTTAAGTTTTATTTTCCAAAGTCTTAAACAGGCTTTAGGTTAACCAAACCCCTGCACCTCACAGATAGGCCCAGCAGATGTGCTTTGCAAGTTATCTTGGCCAGCAGCACACATATATGAAGTCAATGTGCAGGATAGGTCTCTGAAGCCCACAGATGCTCTCCTCTGAATATACATGAGGTTACTATGTCCAACGCCTTTTGGATACAGCCCAGCTGATGGGTGTTCATCACACGTCCTGTACATCTGAAGTTCACATTTGTCCACCTGATGCCCATGAATCACAGCTGTTGTTCAGACATGTGAACACTGAACCCACCAGAATCTGTGTGAGTGACTCCACTGCACATTAACTCGCTGGTATGGTGTAAAAATGAAAAAAAGAGAGAAATTGGGACAGAGAAAGCAGCTCTTGGGCAGGAATTTCTTAAAGGACAATGAGTTTGAAATGCAGAAAAATGCAGTAAGCATTTGTTTGGATTCTCAGCTGCTCTAGAATAACCTAGTAACAAATTACCCAACACACCTTATAAACCTACTTGAGAATAAATTTCCCAGCCTATCTCCCATCATGCCTCCGATTTCCTTTAGAATCCACTTCCTGTTTGACCCGTCAAAGGCAGAGGCAGCAAACACATCGAGCAGATGAAGCCCCATTTGCTGTCCCAGAGTTCAGAAGAAATATACTAATTGAAGCCAATTGGTACCCTCACTTTTCCACAGCTGACACCCTAGACAGGGAAGGTCTAAGTGACAACTGTAAAAACAAAATTATGTCTAAGCTGTGGAGAATGTAGTGGCAGTAGAGGTGACTATGAAACCGAGTACCACTGTGTGCAGCTAAAATGGACTGCAGGAGCTGGATCAGTTCGTTCGCTGTGCCGACACCCCATCAAGCCCTACAAAGCACCAGCCCCTGCACGGTGCCCGGGCAGGAGCCTCACCTCTTCATCTTGCCAACTACCCAAGTCTGAAACCACCTCCACGGTGTACTGAGCGTAAAACAGTTAACCAGCAGATCTCTGTGGAGTCTGTGCTTGCAACAATTATCTGTTTACTACGGTTTTATCAATGATTTTATGCATGTCTATACATCTGGGAAAAATAACATATATACATTTACTTAGCACACAAATATTGCAAGTATCTTTGCAAGTACTTGTACCAGATGCCTGCAGGCTACAAACGTGAGACTTTCTTATTTTCTATATACACAAATGCCAGAGTCAAAGTCAATTTTTAATAAGCTCATGATTCTTTGTTATTTAATACTCTGTAAAAAGGTATTACAGATTGATAGTTTATTGCAGTGACTTCTAAAGAACATGGACAGCCATGAGGCTGAAACTACATTATAATATACATTATGTAATCATTGATACTTATCTGCTACAGCATGAAGAAAAATGCTTTCAAAATAAACAATATTTAACAGAAAAAAAATAGAAATGCAGCTTTCCTTCTTACAGTATGTTTACATATCTATATTCCAAGAATAACATTTTTAAAAATGCTAGATCTTGAAAGGTCATAGATAAAAAGTCATGATGAAGATGAACCAGTTTTGCCCAGAAATGCCATAATGAGCACACTGCACAGTTTTTCAGCAAATCCTAGTTTTGTCAAGCTTCAAGAGGCAAAAGCCTGAAATGTAAAAGCTTCCAAGTTGTCTAGCTAGTCCACTCATCTTGCTCTGAAGGCCCAGTGACCCACACTGCTTTGAGACAGTGTGTCACCACAACTGTTCTTTGCTGACATGAATCCCATCACGAAGAGACAATTCCGGTCCTTATGACGCCAGGCCTAACAAAAAGCCTCCGACAAATCCACTGGACACCACGATGTTCTGTTTGATAAATTCTGTTGACTGAGAAGAAAAACAGTATTTGTAAAGAAATGAGTTAATTGTGTCTGATTGCAGCATTTAAAACTTATCACGACTGCCTGGAAACAATAATATTAAAATCATGGAGGGGGGCACGGCAGGGAGGCAACGTGTTTAAAAGCATCTGAAGCTAGGTGGCAACTGCTGCCACAAATGGAGTGAAAACTGACTCCTGGCTGTCTTTAACAACGTATTTAAAATACCATTAGCATTTTAAAAGTCAAAATACAGCGGAATTGTCATAGCAATTTCATGCCAATGCTATCCTTGTTTTGATTCAAACAAGACAGATGTTTTACAAATTCCCCTGGCAAAACAGCACGAGCACCACGAGTTCAATTTTAATCACACAAAAAAGGTTTTTGAAAAAAACACTGGGTTTTGGAAGACTATATCTTTGGAAAAGAAATACCTTTCACTCCATTATAAGCCAGTTTCCTAATAATCCTAAAAAAATTACTTATGTATGATGGCACTTGTGTACAGTATTTCATGAAAGAATAGCACCGAGTATAACATTATATCAAATATGTCCCATTTCATAAATCCTCGGCTTCAAAAAGAAACAACCAAAACCCCCCTCCTGTTCCACCCACTTCTGCAGGGCGTTGGAGAATAATTACCTGTTTGGTTAAGCTACTTAGGGTACAGATGCCAGAGAAACGTCTCTCTTGAACTTCCACTTCATATTCACATTAAAACTGAAGGTAATTTTTATCAGCCTATGTGCAACTCCACACGGGTTAAATTTGAGATGTCAAAACTAATTACAGAGCACCAGTGTGGCTGCTGTTACGCCGTCTGCACATCAGGATCCACAGTTACTGAGAAACTAACTTACACCACCCGTAAGAAATGTGAAAATGTATGAAAACAGGCCTAACATATTACAACAACAAAAAAAAAAAAAAACAGAGAAAATGAATAAATAAAAGTTTTCAAATGACAGAATGAAATAGCCCCAGTGACACTGATCAGTATCACAGGCTACCTCTTTTCAACACAGTATGTAACTGACAGATTGTGAAGACAGATATTCTTCCAACTGTGTAAAAGAAGAGAGAAAACCACAACTCTTGTTACAAAGCAGTTACAGCTTTTCTCCAGAAAGAAAGGTCAGACTTTTCCAACCCAGTAATTTTGTTATCAGCAGTTTAAGGAGACTTGGGTTTTGTCTTTGTAGTTACCACATTCTAACCACAACACCCTCAAATTTTTACCTGCCATGCATGACCTTAGTGGCTTTCCCTCTACCCGAGGCTCTGCACAGACTAAACGGCAAAGCCAATGGCAGCCCTGTTTTGCCAATGACCAGGCCCAACAAAAATGACAGCACCAGCAGGAAGATGAACCAATACACAGACTGTATTGTAGACAAGAAGGACATTCCATGAATGATCGCTGGGGATACAAACAGATCAATCAGCTGGCACATAATTGACACCACCCCCAACGATCCCACAGAAGATGTGACTTGGCCCACAACAGGTGGTACAAACAGAGACCCGAGGTTGCCCACAGTTGGCATGGGAAACAGCCAGACCAGCAAGCTGAACACATAAGAGAAAGGTGCCCACATAGTGACTCTCACCCGATCGGCCCACGTTCACAAAGGTCTAAACAGACTGGGGCCCAGCTCCAGGGAGAGTCAGGAGGTCTGCCCTGAACCAGGACGCTCTGTGGAGTGCACTCCACAGACAGACACTCCTGACTCCCTGCCAGTGGTCCCAGCTTTTATCCCCAAGCAGACACCTGACCTTTGTCAACTCACTGCAGGACCCCTGGGGCTCATTTCCCTTATGGCTCTCCCTGCAGGGCCGGACGCACCCTGGGGGGAAGCTATAAGGCAAACTCACCACCTCTTTATGAAGGGCTGTGGGAATCACCCATATGTCAACCTTAATTCGGGGCTCGGGGTTCAAACCCCAGCATTTCAAGCCCCTAAGCTGTATTGGCTGTAGAAATGCATTAACTCTGTAGGTTTTGTATCATCTTTAAGAGTGAACAAAATAGAAAGTTAAATGAGTAAAAGAGAATTATTTGGTAACTTAATAAAATATACAGTCAGATAATTTCAGACACCTTCCGGTTTTGCATCTGTATTTTCAACTCACCATCACCTGCAGTGGAAGATAAACTGGCTGGTAAAAAACAGTTTATCACCTTAGACTTACCTCTTCAATGAGAGTATTGATTTCAGGTGCTGCCTTATTTGCACGCTTTTTGAACTGTTTTTTTGCTTTGTTTACATCTTTTTCAACTCTCTTCCAGTCAACTTGTACATATCCACTATGACTAGCAATCTAGGAAAATAAAGGGTATTTAGTACAGTGGTATTTAACATTTCAAGAGTCAAAGTACAGTATGTTAGTACCTACAAATATTTTTCCTTTTTATTCTTTTTTTTAAAATTACAGATACAGGAAAAGACATTGTTCCAGTTACAGCAGGTACTCTGCTTCAAATGCTACTATCTTCCACAGTAACAGCAGTTCAAATTAGAACAAGTAAAGGTGAAGTTCAGTAGATTTCTGTTAATTTTGCTATTTCTCTACTCTTTTAGTTATAAAAGCTTTAAATAATATTTTTCCTTCAGCATTTCCTGTAAGTTTATTTGTAAGAAAAGGAAAGAGAAAAGTATGTTCACAGGGCAACAATGAAAATGTTTAATTTGAGCTTCTTTCAGAATTGTGGAATTCTGATTTGTGACAGGGTATCTGGGGCTAATCAGAATCCTTACAAATACTGAAAACTATTATTTTATCCTACATTGTTTCAACTGTCCAACAAAAGAGTATTTGATAGAAGAGATTTCTCATACTTCCCACAAGCCAAAGCTAGTAAGTAGAAAATAAACATGGCCCGTGTACAGCACAAGTTACACAACAGCCACAAAATGGTTAAGTTTTGGGGGATCGATCATACCAATTTATACTTGAAATCCCAAAATGCTTTAACAATATCCATGAGATTTTTTAGCACTTTTAACCATCATCCCAACCCTTTGCCTTATTTCTCTTCCTAAGATTTTTCACTGGAAAAAAGTGAAGGTCTTCTGTTACTTGATCAACACTGCCAGTCTCACCAATTTCCTTAAGACAATTCACAAAACAAATACATATTTACTTGTTTATACGATCATAGCTTAAAAAAAAAAAATTAAAAAATCAGGCAATTACTGCATGCTCTAGAGAACAGTTAAACCAACAACTCATTAGTTGGAAAAAAAAATAAGAGAGAAAAAATCAAAACTAAGGATTACTGCTTATTTCAATGGCTAAGGCAGAGAGAGGCCACTAACTGTACAGGCAAATGACTGCTGCACACAGAACTCTCCATGAACAAAGAGACTGCTCAGGTCCTTTTTAAGGTCACATTCGGCTGCAAATTCACATAACTTACCCAAGAGTGCTCTATGCAAACACAACAACCAGTAAATACGAGTCATAGATAATGAACTTTTGCAGGACAGATATTTAAATATACAACTCATTAGGTTTGGCATAAACAGAAATGTTTCATAACAGATAAAGGCACTGAATTTTTACTTTCATCTAGTTCGTTCTATTAAATAACTAAAATTAGACCACCTAGCCTGGTTTACAACAGCCACAGTCTTTAAACAATATTTTGCACCACAAACTAGAATTTCATGATCCTGAAAAAAAACTAAAATGGAACAAGTATCAGACAGATTTAATCTGAATTTAAAAGGAAGCTTCTAGAAGGCCACCTGTGTAAGAAAGTAAACTTCAGTTTCCAGCCTTGCACAAGACTTTACAAAAGAACAATTAACTGGACAAATGCAAACTAAGCTTATTAAATATTATGCTCTCCTTTACTCCATATCTCAGAATACAAATTCATTGACCTCGCCTGACTAGTGTGAAATAATTTATCTACCCAGGCACTAGTGATAGGCAGGGTCAACTAATTCAGGACTGTTTATACAGTGTGAAAACATGAAACCAGCTTTAAAGCTGTACTGGTTGCACGTCCAGTCACTGGATGACACACCAGGAAAAACAAAAAAAACCAAACCACAATGTTGTGCATTGGGATAATTTTTATTTTAAGAATTCAATACTATCACAAGAATTTACAAAAGGCCCAAGCATGGAATTGTTGCCTTCTAACTCATAAAACTGAAAACTAAATATGGAGTGATCTACCCAGTCCAACACAATGTAAGAAATGCTAATGTATTAGGTTGCTGGTAAAAAAATATATGCAAATGGACTTCTTTTAAAAGAATGTTTCTTGAAGACTAATTAGCTTAGTTACCCATACCATAAAAAGGTAAGGCAGAAGTTTTTAATTAAGCTCTGGCTGAGCACTCCAGTAGTTACAACTTAGGTTTGTACCAAAACGCCAGTTTACACAATAAAAATTATACTACTTTTCTCCCTAAACTTAATAGCAAGGATCTTAAGTTCTGCTTTGGAGTGTTAGTACACATCTATGAAATAAGCAGAGTACAATGTTCTGAATATAAAATTGAAAACTGAGAAGAAATAAACCTTGTACTTCACTGCAGTGATAGAGACTGTGCCATAACTACTTTGGCTGCAATCCTGATTACGTAACTTTGTATGTAAATGCAGAAATAATCCCACTGAACTCAAATGTTGGTGAGACTGACTTCAATTTTTAGACCCTAACACATCATAAAAAACCTATTATCTTGCAACAGTAAATTCACATAAACACAAATTCTTAAAAGTTCACTCGTAATTTTAAACCCAGCCCCTACAATAACAAACTAAATTAATAATATTCCATTATCAGTCCCATACTTATATATGTGTATCTTAAGGAGTCATATAGGTCTATACATATATAAGAGATGCATAGGGGTGTGGGTTGTATCAATTTCTTTATACACAGAAACCTATATGTGACAATGGAAAAAAATATATATTATAAATTATATTATATAAATTATATATGCAACACATTATTAAAATTTATTTTTGTTCCAAGAACTTCTACAATTGTTGGTAAAATAATAGATTTTTTTTTTCCAAAAAGGCAATTGAAAAAATACATCAATGCAGGAATACTAAAAATATACCCATCTTTCCCAAAAAAAAAGAAAACAGAATCTGAAAAGGAATACCTCATTTCAGGGGCGATACTGGAGAAGCATGCAAGTACTTTGCTATTGTGAAACACTACTAAATAGCAAAAACCATTTAAAAGCAAAAAATGTATATGGCAAGATGGAACAGAAGAGTTTTAATTCCCTCAAAGCCAGAATCTCTCACACTAAAAAAGCCCAGCCAATCCAAAGGACAGATGTGAGCTCCCTGTGCTCAGCTCCTTGCGCAGAATAAAGAAGCCACGTATACCTTTAGGTATTTTCTGGTATTTATACAGGTAGCAACCCCATCACATTCAACAAGTCTCTAGAACCTATCTGTCAAGTCTCTAACTTCAATATACAAAGCCAGGGAGGGACTGAGAAATTAAACATTTTTTTAAGACTTAAACTGGAGAAGCTGTGTCTTCAGCCATCACCTGCTGGCACATCTCCACTGTAACCAGTGCATCTATCCCAATTTACAAAGGCAGAGAAATCATGCCCCTCCATTTCATGTCAAAATCTGCCAGAAATACAGTATTGCTTGAAAAGGCTAACTTCAAACTACCATTTGCTTTGGTTGTTCTGCCAAACGTTACCGCAAAGCCTGCACACTTCAACCGTCAAGTGGGATTTCAATGCACAACTGAAGGCAGCTCTCTCTTATTAAGCACCCACCCCAGAATCAGGCTGCTCTCTCCCCGCGCCGCCCAGACGCCACGTCATCCTCATGACCCTCCTTCCATACACAGCCAACAATACCTCAGAGTTTATTTTGCTTCTTGTGTTGCTCTAAAGGTTTACATTACTTGTTAGAAAATCTTTTAATGAAGGACTGAATGGCATCATTGATGGCACAGTCCTGGTAAAAGGTAAAATATAATAGTGAAAGCACAAATAATTGAACAAAAATACAATTTTATGATTAAATAATAGTCGAAACACACTGGAAAAACCTAAAATTTGTATATTGGATGCAAAGCAAAAAGCAACGAAACCATTATTAAGCATAAAGGAATTTAAAAACTGAGAACGGGTGCTCCTTAAGAACAGTTGTTTTTAACTAACTCATTATAGCAGAACCACAGGAGTTCATACTTCCCTACGCTTCAGGATTTCACTAAACTGTGCTGCATATATTAGAAGTTATGCAAGGACAATCCCTTACTTTTTAGGAGAAATTAACTGCATTTTCCTTAATACAGTGCCTGGATATTGGTCTTATATGAGCATGTTTGAAAACTACATCTATTTCAATAAAAAATTATAGTTAATTGATCAAATGAAGCTGTTGAAATATCCAGCACAAAGATGCGATAACAGATCTTAATTTTGAGAAACTATACGTATTCCTTACTGTCATTTTTATTCTCTTCCTCACATTATTTTTCATTTAATCAGTATTAAGACTGAAAACCTTGTAGATCACTTGAAAAAATCTGAAAAACCTTTTTTGCTTCTTGTACAAACTGGTACTCCAAAAATATATTGCTTTCAGTTTCTGACTAGATTTCTTGGGATGAAGTCATCACACGATGAAGAAAAAAATGTATTTTTTTCAATTTCAGGACTGAAAAGTTTCACTGAATGGGCCCTAGCCAAGAGTCCTGCCTTCTGTAATTCTTCTTGTTTTAGCAGGTAATTACAACGTCAACACTGCAATCAGCAGCTGAAATGAAATCTGGCACTACAGAGAAATTTACAGATAAAAAGGAAGTTTCTAGTCATGTGCTGAAACGCTCCTCTGCCCACTCAGGGGAAGTGCTGAACACGTATTCATAGGGAAAATTAAAATCACGATGTGTGATCTTTAAATGAAAAAATTAAAGACTACAGAAATGTAATTACACTCTAGAATTTATGACTCAGCTTTAAAACGCAGAATGTTTTGAATTAAAATGAAAGATCAAGGCATTTAATTCATTCCTTTCCAAGAGAATCTGATCTCACTTAATTAAAGATATAGACAACTCAAAAAAAATAGGCAACTCATTTTTCCTCTTGGATAGTATTCCTTTTCAGATACACTGTAAATGACATCAACTATGAAATCAGACACTCAAAACACATGGCAAACCTATATGATGTACAGCAAAGCTCCCCAAACTTCACAGCACAACAAGCAAAAACACTGCACAAGTAATGTGCTCTAAGCAACTTCTATTTTCTTTTGTCTACAGGTGTCAGTTTTAACTTTTTAAGTTCCAATAGTCAGAAGTACTAATGAAGGCACCTGCAGGCAACATTCTGCTTCCTACCCCTGGATGCCAGGCTTCTGTTCTGTAGGCTCTTCAGTCATGTTTGGATAAGAATTGTCATTAAAAGAATTAAGACCAATGGTATCCAACATGGGAAGAGAGATTCGGATCTTTAAGTCAGCTAGATGAAAAGCATGGCGAGTGTTTAAAGACCCACTGCACAGAACATTTAATTCTTCCCTCATGATCCAGAAATACACATTATGGACTAAAGAAGTCCAGAGTACTCTATCTCGCTGATTCATTTGCTGGCATAGCACATTTTGTTAAAAATTTACATCTGAAAGATTCAACACCATTGTAGAATTCATCCTGCTGTTTAGGTACAAGCCCAGTAACAAGTGATTTCCAAGGAGATTCAGGAAGGTCAGCAATGCACAGTGGTGATATGGAATGAACTACACCATAAAGCTTCATATAAAACCTATTTATCTTTGACTTTTTACACTGTTGTTCATGCTTGCTTTTCAGTCATGCAATGTAATATACATTCACTTTTCATTTGTTGAAAACAGCTTAATCCAAGTAGTTGCAAGAGCATACATTCTCAGGTTGAGTGCTGTGATCCAGTTACATGTTTAGCATGAGATTAAAAAAACCCAACCAGCCAAAACCAACCCCCAAAACATTAGAGAACGTGGTTATGAAGTAAGAGTACTTCACACAATTGTGACATTTCACAGCAGCAATCAGAGGTACTACCCAAGCCTTCCTGATCAGTGGTTGACTCCAACAGCCACTAGAATCAAAGGAGTAACTAGAAGTAGGATATGCCTTTCAGAAATCCTCCAGGGTGATGTTGGAAAGAATAAATGTGTATGTGTATCTATATCTATCTTTAACATCCTGTCTCAAAAAAACACACTATTGAACCTAAGTAGGCACCAGTCTACTTCCTCTAGAAAAAATTGAAGAAAAATGACAAGCTCAGAGGTATTAAGACATGAAAAATCCCAGTTTAAAAAAAAAAAAATTACTTGGCATCTTATGGAAGGATATGTGAAATTCTCCTTGACTTAAAGCTTCATTATCTAATTTTAAGGGGTTTTGGAAATATGTCCTCCCATAACCACAATATCTAATGAAAAATGCAAATGGTTGCGCCAGATAACGTAATTAAAAAATTCTGGACTTGAAATCCAATTGAAGAGAGGAATGCAATGAAGCTATCAGAGATCAGCAAAGCTTCAAAGGTTCTAACTAGTAAATAAAGCATGGGGAGAAAAGAGCAAAATGTGGCTTCTCCGTGGGACCAGAGCAAGGCTTCCAAGCAACTGCCAAAGAAGCCTACTTGTTCTAAAGCACTGATAAAATTGTCAAATCTATTTAAAATAAACATAGCTTAAACTCCTTGACCTCCCTAACCATAGGTTTGTGGGCAGTTCCTCTCATCTGGCAATACTGAACCTCATACAGCATCTCTGTTTCTGCACAGAAGTTTATTTTGGCTTACTACAAACTATTTTGCAGGGTAGAGTAGATTTTGATTTACCACCGATTTTTGGAAATGTCTCTTTTGTGCACAACATTCCAGCTGAAACATAAGTTTTTGACTGATAAGACTAAAAAGATGAAGTAGATAAGAAGCCTTCCTAATTAAATTTTACCCAACAGCTGTGTTTTTCCTACTGTTTAGTAAATAACATTTGCCAACTTATAAAGCATGAAATGCTACATACTTGAAGCAGAAGAAAGCCACCACCTACTGCAGTTGCTGCAAGCTTTCCGACTTTCTGGAACAAAAATCCCGCACACCTTAGGAGAACAAAACAAAAAAAAAAACCCAGTCCAATGAAGTTGTCTGCTGAACAGTGCCACGCTCCAAAATTCCCAACTACAACTATTACGACTTTTTAATTTAACAAAGCAAATGTATAACTTCACATTTTTAAATTTTAAAATGAGAATATTTTATAAAAACAGTATTTAATTAATCACGTCCAACATGGCTGTCTGATGGCCCCTTTAAAGTAAGCTTGAGATCTCCAGATCCCGTCTATACACAAAAGCTGCACGCTGCTATTAAATGTAGCATGTTAATAAAGTACAATGTAATAATGTAAAAGTGTGATTATAACTGTTCCCAAATGGAAGGTAAACATATTATACCATCATTTGTATTAACTACACAACTTACAACTGAAATACCTCAGGTAAAAGAAGTTGCATCCCTACCACAAGAGTTAACATCAGCAGGGCTCCTCTAGTGAGACATGGCTTTAGTCTTTTTTTAATGGATCAAGGCAACCAGAAAATTAATTATCTTGTTTGCAGGCTCCAAACACTCCCACATTAAAAAGAGAACAGCACAAATATCGATCTCATAGAACAGTTTGGGCAGGAAGGGACTGCTGGGGGTCATCTAGTCCGGCTGCCTTCCCAAAACTGGGCCAGCTTCAAAGTCTGATCTAACCTCCAAGCTAAATCAGGTTGCTCAGGGTCCCAAGTGAGGCAAACACCAAACGTTTCCAAGGCTGATGGTGCCATAACTTCTTTGGGCAACTCTCCTGGCACTCCTCCCACCCCCATCAGCCCACACACAGAGGGAAATTTCTTCTGCCTCCGTATGAGCTCCGATGAGCACATGCTCGGTGGTGTATACATCTACCAATATATAGATAACACTGAAATACACAGCTTCCAGATCTTTCAATAGGCCAGTTTTTATAGATGCCAGATGAACTATTCCTACAAGCTTCGGAGTTCATATACACACATCTGACTTTCAAAAATAACTTCATGCCTACAGAGGCAAATAAAAAAAAATCAGACTGAAAGCTAAGCCTGCACTCCTCAAAGCCATACTGAGACTAGACATGACAATTTCATTTTCAGTCCATTTAATTTTCCAAAACTTGAATTGTTCCGTTTTAAAAGTTACTGTGCTATCATAATGCTGTTTTTCACAGAACTTAATTTTCTTTTTAGAGTACTGGAATAGGAAAATACTACTCAAATGCCTTTGATAAATAACAAATACCGTGACATAGCTGCTAAGGCTGTGGCCACACTTTCAAGTTTAAGTTGTCATCTTTACAATCTGGCTTTCAGCATGATTTATTTTAGTGTAACTACGCTGTGGTATCTCTCTTCAGTTAACATGAGAGCAGACTGTTGCCTTGTTCAAAATGGCTCCAGCTGAATTTAGAGGCAAAAAAAGTGTTTATGAAATGGAGCTCTTAACTCAAAGTATATTCTGCCACACATTTTTTCCCCTTTCACTTCTTTTACTTATAAAATATGTGTTGGTCATATCAGAACTAGGTTTCTAAATCTATACTAGTAAGGAGATAAGCTTTTCCATACAAACAGAAGTTATAAGCAGCAATTTTCCATTTATTCCGTGTACTTTTAGAGCTCTAACATTTCCCCAAATCTTTTTCACAGTAACTGGCACGAGTTCCCCGAGATAACTGGTGTTTTCCCAATACTACAAAACACTTTAGAATGATGAGTCAGAGTAATGAGTTAAGAAATTGTTCACACATGAATGACCTTGATCAATGATAAAGGAAATCCAGTTAGAGAAGATACATTTATCTGCTCCAAAAAGCCTTGGAGAGGTATCTTCTAACAGAGTAAAACGTCTCGGGCAGTTATGAAAAGTGATGCTCCCTCACCAGCCAGTGACGCCGCCCATCACAATCTGGGTAGCTACAGAGTATTTTTCTACAATCGGTCCTGAATTCCGGCCAAAAACACGATTCCACCAATGGTGACGCCGTGCATATTCTGTTAAGTCCAACACTTCATAGGAATCATCGTCACTTTCATGTTCTTAAAAAGAAAAAAGAAAAAAGTTATTTTCTCAGTTATATACTGTATATTAATAATCTATGTAAAACCCACAAACATTAACAGAACCATTTTTGGTATCAATGGCTACTCCAGTGGTTTAAATTGTGGCATACAGGTTACCTATGGTCCAGCAGCTCGTAGAACAAAGGCTTCTGACATTTTTATGCCATGATCTTGACGGTAAGGAAGACTATAGGGAAGGTATAATGTATAAAATCCATGAGTGGTACAGAAAAGGTGAACAGGAATCTGCCTAGTATAGGCAGATGTTCTAGTATAGGAACCAGGACATAACATGAAACTAGTAGGCAGCTTGTTCAACACACAAAAAAAAGGAAGTCTTGCTCTCCTTTCCCTCACCCCCCAGGCCCTGGAAGCCCCAGTTAACCTGTGGAACAGCTTGCTGCAAGATGCCGTAGATGCAAAAAGCTGACATGGACTCTAAATAAAAACAGAACAAGTTAAAGAGGGGGGAAAAAAATCCAACCACAAGAGCTGTTAGACACAAAGACAACAGCGATGGCTAATGAGGTCCTGTGCTGAAAAATTATTAAAAACATTCTGAGAAAGTATCAGCACATGCTTCCTCTGTTAAATCCTTCTTAGCTTATGCTGCAGCTGACAGCTTTCAGACACAGGATGCTGGGCTTTCATCTGATGTATGATTGCTTTTACAACCTGAAGCAATGTGAAACATGTCTAACCTCCGAGAAAGCACATACATCTCTTCTGGACAGACCAACATGGAAAGATTGAGAACTTCTGGCCTCCTGTTCTCCTCAGAGAGCTAGACTTGGCATATGCTAATAAGCCAAGAATAGACACTTGTGTTCCTTTCCCACAACATGTGAAATAGATGAAGCTGGAACTTAGATCAAGTGCCATATTTTCTGTACAATTCTGTCAATATTTTCAAAATAGGTTTCCTACAAACTTCAAATTCAAGTTCCTAAATACCACATATACTCAAACGTCAATGGGGAAAAATGGTTTTAAATTTCCTAAAGAAAAGGATTTTAAAAGCATATGTCCTGGTTTGGGTTGACAACATGTCATAGTTTTATGGACATACATACATTAAAGCCCACTGTGGTTAAATACATTTACAGTGAAATATAAGTTCACGAACTATGCAGGGACATTCCAGAGAAAAGTTAACTTTTTAGCTAGAATTAATAAAGACTGTAAATATAAACATTTTATTAAGAATTTCAACAGCTTTTTCTAACTCTTACTACAACTATGGGTAAAAAGCCAGAGAACACAAGAAATACACATGTAGGTATTAATTATTTGCCTTTATTATCACGCAAGTGTTCCTGAGTGGGTGCAGAGAAGGGCTGGAAAACATGCCTTATGAGGGCTGGCTGAGGGAACTGGGGCTGTTTAGCCTAGAGAAGAGGAGACTGAGAGGAGACCTTAGTGCTGTCTATAACTACCGAAAAGGAGGTTGTAGTGAGGCTGGTGTTGGGCTCTTCTCTCAAATTACTAACGAAAGGAAGAGAGGAAATGGCCTCAAGTTGCACCAGGGGAGGTTTTGGTTGGATATTAGGAAGAATTTCTTCCCTGAGAGGATGGTTAGGCACAGGAACCAGCTGCCCAGGGAGGTGGTGGAGTCATCATGCCTGGGGGGAGTTAAAAAAATGAGTGGATGTGGCACTTGAGGCTATGGTCTAGTGGTTAGGGAAATGTTGGGATGGAGGCTGGATTTGATGATCCTAGAGGTCCTTTCCAACCATAGTGATTCTATGAGTATTAAAATATAAATAGCAAAAAAACCTTTCTGGTATTGTTTCACTTCTTTAAACATAAAAATACCGTCACAGACCGATAGTTAATTCCAACTCTAAATTAATACTGCTCAAATCGAGACTCACACGAGATTAACACGTTGTGTGGAAGGTTGACGATAATTTGCCTGTGCAAAAAGGTGTCACACCACGAGGCTACAGGGATATCATTTAAGATCCGCGCGTTAGAAGATGTGGAGAAATCTAGGGAAACGGCCGCTCAATTCCCGTTCCGCAGCCTCCGGCGAGGCCCCCGCGGCTGCCCGTCCCCGTGCTGCTGCGGCGGGCTCCGGAGGCGCTCCGATGTTGGCCC